TTGGCGCCAGAGAAGCGTCCGCCGAGTTCTTGGTAGCGTGCTGGCATGCCTTCAGGAACGCTGTGTGTGACTTCCTCACCTAGAGTGGGTTCTGGGAGTTCTGCTCCCCTAGACAGACCTGGGACCAGGCTTGTCCCATCACACTGTTGCTCGCAGCAGCCTTCAGGCAACATGTCCATTACAACCTGGTTGGCCTGCCACTTGTGGCAGAAAACTCTATTTTTTGTTTTTAACTCCACTTTGGTTCAGACAATATTTTTTATGCTTGCTGGGAGGATAGTGAACAGCCCTGAGCCTCTGATGTCCATACCGTGTTCTCTGGTTGTGCCTATGGCGCCTCTACTCTTGTCTGGCACTGTTCTGCATTTCTTCCTGTATCGTTCGCTCCAGTACAACGCTCCACACGTTACTTTACTGTGTAGATTTGGGACCTGGCCTTCCAGTATCTTCCATATATATTATGTGATACCTCTCTTGTCTCCTGTCTAGACAGTACATTGTGAGAGCTTTGAGACTGTCCCAATAACTAAGGTGTTTTATTGTGTGTGTGTGTGTGCCGTATGTGTTCTCTGAACTCCCTCTATCTCAGCAATCACTCCCTCTCTGACGGGGGAAGTGAGTACTGAGCAGTACTTAAGGCTTTAAGTACTGCTCAGCACAATTGATTACGGGCTATTCATGCCCGTGCCACCTCTTGGGCGGAACCGTTCAAGTTCCAATTGACCAGACATTTTCCACAGTGAATAATAAATTACTTTTCATACAATATAAAGCCTAACGCAACATGCTCGCTGTTCAACAGCTTTTGAAACAATTGACAATTAGCAATTTTACGTATGATATTAGAGGTGACTTGTGACATTTGCTTCCCTACGGCAGCGGCTCCGTCCTCCTCCTCACCCATAATGCTCGGCGAACATTAAAGAGCACATGCTGGTGACCAGTCCTGGTGGTGTTGATGCTGGTGACGGTTGGGCACTTGCTGGTGACCAGTCCTGGTGGTGTTGATGGTGGTGACCAGTCCTGGTGGTGTTGATGCTGGTGACCAGTCCTGGTGGTGTTGATGCTGGTGACGGTTGGGCACTTGCTGGTGACCAGTCCTGGTGGTGTTGATGGTGGTGACCAGTCCTGGTGGTGTTGATGCTGGTGACCAGTCCTGGTGGTGTTGATGGTGGTGACCAGTCCTGGTGGTGTTGATGCTGGTGACGGTTGGACACTTGCTGGTGACCAGTCCTGGTGGTGTTGATGGTGGTGACCAGTCCTGGTGGTGTTGATGCTGGTGACCAGTCCTGGTGGTGTTGATGCTGGTGACCAGTCCTGGTGGTGTTGATGGTGGTGACCAGTCCTGGTGGTGTTGATGGTGGTGACCAGTCCTGGTGGTGTTGATGCTGGTGACCAGTCCTGGTGGTGTTGATGGTGGTGACCAGTCCTGGTGGTGTTGATGCTGGTGACCAGTCCTGGTGGTGTTGATGCTGGTGACCAGTCCTGGTGGTGTTGATGGTGGTGACCAGTCCTGGTGGTGTTGATGCTGGTGACCAGTCCTGGTGGTGTTGATGCTGGTGACCAGTCCTGGTGGTGTTGATGGTGGTGACCAGTCCTGGTGGTGTTGATGCTGGTGACCAGTCCTGGTGGTGTTGATGGTGGTGACCAGTCCTGGTGGTGTTGATGCTGGTGACCAGTCCTGGTGGTGTTGATGCTGGTGACCAGTCCTGGTGGTGTTGATGCTGGTGACCAGTCCTGGTGGTGTTGATGGTGGTGACCAGTCCTGGTGGTGTTGATGCTGGTGACCAGTCCTGGTGGTGTTGATGCTGGTGACCAGTCCTGGTGGTGTTGATGCTGGTGACCAGTCCTGGTGGTGTTGATGCTGGTGACCAGTCCTGGTGGTGTTGATGGTGGTGACCAGTCCTGGTGGTGTTGATGCTGGTGACCAGTCCTGGTGGTGTTGATGCTGGTGACCAGTCCTGGTGGTGTTGATGGTGGTGACCAGTCCTGGTGGTGTTGATGCTGGTGACCAGTCCTGGTGGTGTTGATGCTGGTGACCAGTCCTGGTGGTGTTGATGCTGGTGACCAGTCCTGGTGGTGTTGATGGTGGTGACCAGTCCTGGTGGTGTTGATGCTGGTGACCAGTCCTGGGGGTGTTGATGGTGGTGACCAGTCCTGGTGGTGTTGATGGTGGTGACCAGTCCTGGTGGTGTTGATGGTGGTGACCAGTCCTGGGGGTGTTGATGGTGGTGACCAGTCCTGGTGGTGTTGATGGTGGTGACCAGTCCTGGTGGTGTTGATGGTGGTGACCAGTCCTGGTGGTGTTGATGGTGGTGACCAGTCCTGGTGGTGTTGATGGTGGTGACCAGTTCTGGTGGTGGTGACCAGTCCTGGTGATGTTGATGCTGGTGACCAGTCCTGGTGGTGTTGATGCTGGTGACGGTTGGGCACTTGCTGGTGACCAGTCCTGGTGGTGTTGATGGTGGTGACCAGTCCTGGTGATGTTGATGGTGGTGACCAGTCCTGGTGGTGTTGATGCTGGTGACCAGTCCTGGTGGTGTTGATGGTGGTGACCAGTCCTGGTGGTGTTGATGCTGGTGACGGTTGGGCACTTGCTGGTGACCAGTCCTGGTGGTGTTGATGGTGGTGACCAGTCCTGGTGATGTTGATGGTGGTGACCAGTCCTGGTGGTGTTGATGCTGGTGACCAGTCCTGGTGGTGTTGATGCTGGTGACGGTTGGGCACTTGCTGGTGACCAGTCCTGGTGGTGTTGATGGTGGTGACCAGTCCTGGTGGTGTTGATGGTGGTGACCAGTCCTGGGGGTGTTGATGCTGGTGACCAGTCCTGGTGGTGTTGATGGTGGTGACCAGTCCTGGTGGTGTTGATGGTGGTGACCAGTCCTGGTGGTGTTGATGGTGGTGACCAGTCCTGGTGGTGTTGATGGTGGTGACCAGTCCTGGTGGTGTTGATGCTGGTGACCAGTCCTGGTGGTGTTGATGCTAGTGACCAGTCCTGGTGGTGTTGATGCTGGTGACCAGTCCTGGTGGTGTTGATGGTGGTGACCAGTCCTGGTGGTGTTGATGGTGGTGACCAGTCCTGGTGGTGTTGATGGTGGTGACCAGTCCTGGTGGTGTTGATGGTGGTGACCAGTCCTGGTGGTGTTGATGGTGGTGACCAGTCCTGGTGGTGTTGATGCTGGTGACGGTTGGACACGTGCTGGTGACCAGTCCTGGTGGTGTTGATGCTGGTAACGGTTGGACACGTGCTGGTGACCAGTCCTGGTGGTGTTGATGCTGGTGACGGTTGGACACGTGCTGGTGACCAGGGAGTTGGACAGAAAGGGTCTCCTGCACGCGTCAGCACTACTGCACAGTCAGAACTGGGGACCAAGACCAACCCATCCTCGTGTGTAGATAGAACCTATTTTGACGATCGTTAATAGTCAGAATTCCTATGCACTTAGCTTTTAGGTAGTAGTATACTGACTAGTAAGGAATTCTTTTAAAATAAATGAAGCTAAAACACAATCTTAAATATTCCTAGGCCTAGTATAGTACATATATGTACTATATTAGGCCTCATATATCGTGTATTAGGCCTAGGGAAGGTTAGGTTAGGTTAGCTTGTCAAAGCAACAAGTAAAAAATAGTTTTCCGGTTTGTCCAAGTCAATAGTTCAGATTTTTAAGTTCTAATTTCGTTGAATGTGGGTATATATATATATATATATATATATATATATATATATATATATATATATATATATATATATATATATATATATATATATACTATGGTGCTCATGGTTACTATAAGTACTACCAAAACATGAGGATGAGCTGAAGTGCTAAGTTAGCCGCTAGGTGGCACTGTCTTACATGACCGGCTGCCACTCTTAAAGGTGGCTTATCTTGAGGTTATCTTGAGATGATTTCGGGGCTTTAGTGTCCCCGCGGCCCGGTCTTCGACCAGGCCTCCACCCCAAGGAAGCAGCCCGTGACAGCTGACTAACACCCAGGTACCTATTTACTGCTGGGTAACAGGGGCATAGGGTGAAAGAAACTCAGCCCATTGTTTCTCGCCGGCGCTCGGGATCGAACCCGGGACCACAGGATCACAAGTCCAGCGTGCTGTCGTCAGCTCGGCAAACCGGCCTAGTAAGAAGGCTGGGCTCTACTGGGCTGGGTTGGGCTGGGTTGGGCTGGGTTGGGCTCGGTTGGGCTGGGTTGGGCTCGGTTGGGCTGGGTTGGGCTGGGTTGGGCTGGGTTGGGCTGGGTTGGGCTGGGTTGGGCTCGGTTGGGCTGGGTTGGGCTGGGTTGGGCTGGGTTGGGCTGAGTTGGGCTCGGTTGGGCTGGGTTGGGCTGGGTTGGGCTCGGTTGGGCTCGGTTGGGCTGGGTTGGGCTGGGTTGGGCTGAGTTGGGCTCGGTTGGGCTGGGTTGGAAATAATCCGTTTTATAATCCGTTGGCAAATAGTCTTGTCTACTATCTGACTTATATCCGACGCTTCAGTCTCCTACCAACAATTACAACAAATATCGCTGGAACAAGAGGACAACCTAGAGAGACCTGGACACGCTTATGCTGGAGTTACCAGATCAACCAGGCTGTGTTGGCCTTCGGGCTACGAAGACAACCAGCCTCAGAGCAGGCAATTTACCTGGGAAATCTGGCCATAGGCTAGGCTGCGGGAGCAGAACCACCCTCGAAATCGTCACCAGGTAAAAACGAATTTGATTTAACCTGTAGAGAAGTTTTAATTATTTAAACACCGAACTCAATTCAACTCTCACAGAAGGTAAGGAAGGTTGATTGACCAGTTGATTGACAGTTGAGACGCGGGACCAAAGAGCCAAAGCTCAACCCCCGCAAGCACAAATAGGTGAGTACAAATAGGTGAGTACACACACACACACACACACACACACACACACACACACACACACACACACACACACACACACACACACACACAGGTGAGTGCCTGGCGCGCCTTGACTCACGGTCTGGTCTGCCCGCAGGTCCACGAGTGGGAGATCGGCCGCCACAAGCTGAAGAGCAAGATGGAGATCGACCCGGCCACCCTGATGGACGTGGGCTACTACGAGTGTCAGGCCAACAACAAGTATGCCGTCGACCACCGCGGCTTCCGCACCCAGTACACGGCCGGCCTTTAGTGCCCTACACCCGCCCCCCACCCCCCCGGTCACCAGTGCCCGACACACGCCCCGGTCACCAGTGCCCGACACACCCCCCCCGGTCACCAGGGCCCGACACACCCCCCCCCCCGGTCACCAGGGCCCGACACACACCCCGGTCACCAGTGCCCGACACACACCCCCCGGTCACCAGTGCCCGACACACACCCCCCGGTCACCAGTGGCCGGCACCCCCCCCCCCCCGGTCACCAAGGCCCGACACACCCGCCCCGGGTCACCAGTGCCCGACACACCCCCCGGTCACCAGTGCCCGACACACCCCCCGGTCACCAGTGCCCGACACACACACACCCCGGTCACCAGGGCCCGACACACCCCCCCCGGTCACCAGGGCCCGACACACCCCCCCCGGTCACCAGTGCCCGACATCCCCCCCCCCCGGTCACCAGGGCCCGACACACCCGCCCCGGTCACCAGTGCCCGACACACCCGCCCCGGTCACCAGTGCCCGACACACGCCCCGGTCACCAGTGCCCGACACACCCCCCGGTCACCAGTGCCCGACACACACCCCGGTCACCAGTGCCCGACACACGCCCCGGTCACCAGTGCCCGACACACCCCCCGGTCACCAGGTCCCGACACCCCCCCCCCGGTCACCAGTGCCCGACACACCCCCCGGTGACCAGGGCCCGACACCCCCCCCGGTCACCAGTGCCCGACACACACCCCGGTCACCAGTGCCCGACACACACCCCGGTCACCAGTGCCCGACACACCCCCCGGTCACCAGTGCCCGACACACACCCCGGTCACCAGTGCCCGACACACACCCCGGTCACCGGTGCCCGACACACACCCCGGTCACCAGTGCCCGACACACCCCCCGGTCACCAGTGCCCGACACCCCCCCCCCGGTCACCAGTGCCCGACACACACCCCGGTCACCAGTGCCCGACACACACCCCGGTCACCAGTGCCCGACACACCCCCCGGTCACCAGGTCCCGACACCCCCCCCCGGTCACCAGTGCCCGACACACACCCCGGTGACCAGGGCCCGACACCCCCCCGGTCACCAGTGCCCGACACACACCCCGGTCACCAGTGCCCGACACACACCCCGGTCACCAGTGCCCGACACACCCCCCGGTCACCAGTGCCCGACACACACCCCGGTCACCAGTGCCCGACACACACCCCGGTCACCAGTGCCCGACACACACCCCGGTCACCAGTGCCCGACACACCCCCCGGTCACCAGTGCCCGACACCCCCCCCCCCCGGTCACCAGTGCCCGACACACAGACCCCGGTCACCAGTGCCCGACACACAGACCCCGGTCACCAGTGCCCGACACACAGACCCCGGTCACCAGTGCCCGACACCCCCCCCCCCCGCTCCTAATATAGTAAGGACCTCCATACAGTTAGCTAAGAGTTACTGTAGCACCTATAAGCAAGACTTAACTGTCACCCGCGTACAGAGTGACAACATTTATATACGTACTGTGAGGGTGTTCTGACCTGTCCACAACTGACCTGGTGTCACCGAACGACCTCACGTGCACCCCCTCACGTGCAAACCCCCCCCCCCCTCACGTGCACCAGAGCTACTCCAGAGCCACGGCTTCCAGCGCAACGTGGACAAGACACATCCACTGTTGGCGCATTCTTTCGTCGGTATTTACCCTTGATACTGGTGCAATATTATCTTGTTGACACGATGGACCAGCCGGCAGGACCTCACGGAGCGTCAGGACTTCCGTAGGTGACTCTACAGACAGCGGCGTGTAGGACGGGGGTCTCTCCCCTGTTGTGGACTATGCCAAGGCTTCTTCTTACTACCCACTACTGACGCTACTTGTGAACTTGTATACGTGACTGACATACCTGACTCACCGCCCCCTTCAGAGCGGGAGAGATTGCTGTAATAGAGGGAGTACAGAGAACATATACGGCATACAGACGCGATAAATCACTTTAATTATTGGGATCGTCTCTGAGCTCTCGAAATGTACTCAACTAGAAAGGAGACGAGAGTGGAATCAAGTAATATATATATATGCGTGGAAAGTACTGGAGGGTCAGGTCTCAAATCTACACAGTAAAATAACAACATACTGAGTGAACGATATGGCTGGAAATGCAGAATATACCCAGTGAAGAGCAGAGGTGCCATCCCTTGACGTTATGTTGAGGTTACCTTGAGGTGTTTCCGGGGCTTAGCGTCCCCGCGGCCCGGTCGTCGACCAGGCCTCCTGGTTGCTGGACTGGTCAACCAGGCTTTTGGACGCGGCTGGTCGCAGCCTGACGTATGAATCACAGTCTGGCTGATCAGGTATCCTTTGAAGGTGCTTATCGAGTTCTCTCTAGAACACTGTGAGGGGTCGGCCAGTTATGCCCCTTATGTGTAGTGGAAGCGTGTTGAACAGTCTCGGGCCTCTGATGCTGATAGAGTTCTCTCCTGTATAGAGGTGCAACAGATACTCTCAGAGTACCTGTTGCACCTCTATACAGGACTGTTGTCTGATTGTGCCATAGGCACAATCAGAGAACACTATGAACATCTGAGGTCCACAGTTGTTCAATATCCTCCCAGCAAGATATATTACCGGAACAAAATTGAAACTCTTAAAGAAAAAGCTTGATAGTTTTCAGCAAGAAGTGCCGGACCAACCGGGCTGTAGTGGGTATGTGGGCCTGCGGGCCGCTCCAAGCAACAGCCTGGTGGACCAAACTCTCACAAGTCAAGCCTGGCCTCGCCCAGGGCTTGGGGTGTTGAACACCCAAAACCCAATCCAGGTACTGCTCCCCCACCATCACCCCCTACAAGACGCCCCTCTCCACCCCTCCCACCCCCACCAAGATGGTCACGCCCACCTACCGTCACTTGTTATCTCCCCCACGCCTTAAAATCTCCCCCCAAACTCACAAAACAAAGTTTTGAGGGAGGGCGGCCGAGCAGGAGGACCCCTGCTGGCGGCCGGCGCCACACTACATCCACCCTTCTATTACAAACACCAAAAGATTGATTTTCCCCTTGTACCTGTCGCTCATCAAGGCTTCGCCACCAGCGAATCTTATCATGAAAGGAATTTCGTCTCAATTAAGCGCTGGGGAGTGGGGGGAGGGGGGGGGGGGAGGTATGCAAGTCTTAATGCACAAATGGAAGTAAGTGTGAGAGCTGTGTGACCGTCGAGAGAGAGGCTGATGCACACACACCCAAGCCCCAGCACCCACACACCCAAGCCCCAGCACCCACACACCCAAGCTCCAGCACCCACACCCAAGCCCCAGCACCCACACACCCAAGCCCCAGCACCCACACCCAAGCCCCAGCACTCACACACCCAAGCCCCAGCACCCACACACCCAAGCCCCAGCACCCACACACCCAAGCCCCAGCACCCACACACCCAAGCCCCAGCACCCACACACCCAAGCTCCAGCTCGAGTTCTCTCTAGAACACTGTGAGGGGTCGGCCAGTTATGCCCCTTATGTGTAGTGGAAGCGTGTTGAACAGTCTCGGGCCTCTGATGCTGATAGAGTTCTCTCCTGTATACTCTGTATACACACCCAAGCCCCAGCACCCACACACCCAAGCCCCAGCACCCACACACCCAAGCCCCAGCACACACACCCAAGCCCCAGCACCCACACCCAAGCCCCAGCACTCACACACCCAAGCCCCAGCACACACACCCAAGCCCCAGCACCCACACCCAAGCCCCAGCACTCACACACCCAAGCCCCAGCACCCACACACCCAAGCCCCAGCACCCACACACCCAAGCCCCAGCACCCACACCCAAGCCCCAGCACCCACACACCCAAGCCCCAGCACCCACACCCAAGCCCCAGCACCCACACACCCAAGCCCCAGCACCCACACCCAAGCCCCAGCACCCACACCCAAGCCCCAGCACCCACACACCCAAGCCCCAGCACCCACACACCCAAGCCCCAGCACCCACACACCCAAGCACCAGCACCCACACCCAAGCCCCAGCACCCACACCCAAGCCCCAGCACCCACACACCCAAGCCCCAGCACACACACACCCAAGCCCCAGCACCCACACACCCAAGCCCCAGCACCCACACACCCAAGCCCCAGCACCCACACACCCAAGCCCCAGCACCCACACACCCAAGCCCCAGCACCCACACACCCAAGCCCCAGCACCCACACACCCAAGCCCCAGCACCCACACACACAAGCCCCAACACCCACACACCCAAGCCCCAGCACCCACACCCAAGCCCCAGCACCCACACCCAAGCCCCAGCACCCACACACCCAAGCCCCAGCACCCACACCCAAGCCCCAGCACCCACACCCAAGCCCCAGCACCCACACACCCAAGCCCCAGCACCCACACACCCAAGCCCCAGCACCCACACCCAAGCCCCAGCACCCACACACCCAAGCCCCAGCACCCACACACACAAGCCCCAGCACCCACACCCAAGCCCCAGCACCCACACACCCAAGTCCCAGCACCCACACCCCCAAGCCCCAGCACCCACACACACAAGCCCAAGCACCCACACACACAAGCCCCAGCACCCACACACCCAAGCCACAGCACCCACACACCCAAGCCCAAGCACCCACACACACAAGCCCCAGCACACACACCCAAGCCCCAGCACTCACACACCCAAGTCCCAGCACCCACACACCCAAGTCCCAGCACCCACACACCCAAGCCCCAGCACCCACACACCCAAGCCCCAGCACACACACACCCAAGCCCCAGCACCCACACACCCAAGCCCCAGCACCCACACCCCATGTCCCAGCACCCACACACCCAAGCCCCAGCACCCACACACCCAAGCCCCAGCACACACACACCCAAGCCCCAGCACCCACACACCCAAGTCCCAGCACCCACACACCCAAGTCCCAGCACCCACACACCCAAGCCCCATCACCCACACACCCAAGCCCCAGCACCCACACACCCAAGCCCCAGCACCCACACACCCAAGCCCCATCACCCACACACCCAAGCCCCAGCACCCACACACCCAAGCCCCAGCACCCACACACCCAAGC